TTAAGACGCTTCAGTGATCTCGGTCTCGGCTTTGAAGGCGCAGTTGCTTGGGTTTTATTGCCCGGGTCATTGTTCCACGACACCTGTGCACGCAGAATGAAAGAGACTGCCCTGAACCCTAAACTCCAAAAATCCTCGTAACTCGTGGCTAGACAACACTTCGAAGGAGATCGGCCTTCCTACTTTCAACGGTCGCGGGGCTTCGGGCTCTTGGGGCCTTCAGGCTTACAGGCTCAGGGGGCTGAGGTCTTCGAGGTCTCGGGCTTTCGGGCTTTAATGTGCCTGTCGGGAGTTCGATCTTGCGCTTTTGGGCTCGGTAGGTCAGAGTTCGGCCCTTGCACCAGTTCAGAACCATCGGAACTCTTATAGAAACCCCTGCAGGCGAACCCCGGAAGCTACAAGAACCCTTCAACATATCCGAGCTCTGCGTTCTGGCTGAGGTCGCGGCATGGGCCCTCAAAAGCTCCTGAAGGTACAGCAGACTCGCGTCCAAGTCGTGGTACTGGCCTTGGTTACTGAAACCCCTTATTCTGTGCTGGAACTTCGGTCATGAGCTCTGATAACCACTTAAGCTTTTATCCGAAAAGCCGAGAAGTGCTTGTCATTGCTGGTTAAATTCATCCAAACGCTTCGGGTTGAGAGTTCCAGCAAGACGAGGACAGATTGGGAGAAAAGGGGTGCGGTGACAAGCTCAGGCTTTCACGGGGAAGATGTCGGATGCAACAGTTGAAACCCCAAAAGGTTCGGAAGGGCTCGGGGTTCAGAGTGTGGGTGCCAGGTTGGTTCGGCTGGTAGAGATTGCAGATGGAAAGTTTCAAGACTTTACAAGTTTCAAGAGTGAATGTGTCACGCTCGAGATTCCGAGGCCCCGAGATCATCAACGGGGTCCCTCAACCGCCGTGCAGCCCTGTTTCGGCTTAGTGGCTCAGTGACTGAGTGACGTCTAGGCACCCTAAACCCCGAAACCCTGAAGCATTCGAAGTCATGAGTGTTGCGGCCTAAACCGCCCTTGAACCACGATGGGCCGAGTCACGCGACGCGACTGAGGTGCCAGGGCCCGTTTTGAACCTTGCCCAGTCGTAGAAAACCTGCCCCTTGAAAGTTCTTGACATCTCCTTGGATCCGCATCCGGATTTCGCGGATTTCGGGCATGTAGTACTTACTGTAGTCATTGTTAAGTAGCAGGGCTATCGATTGAAAAGGTACTGTGTACTTGCAGCCCTACGTACACTTGGGCTTCCTCAATGCTCAAGCAAACCCCCGGAGGTGGCTCTGCTATTGTGGAATCGGAACTGTGAGACTCTGGGAGCCTCATTCAAAGCTCCAAGAGAAACTGGCCCATTTCTGGAGTGAGGGGATCGGCTTGAAGCTTCTTAGTATCGAGGCTCCGTAGAATGGGAATTGGGAGGTCCTAGGCAACGAAACCCTTGAATACCCGGGCCAAGCGAAACTTTGGATTAAGGTCCGTGGCAAATTCCAGGTTTGCAGGTGAACTCGTCACAGCTGCACATGCCCTGCAAATTCTGGACCTGGGCTCCAAAGCTCCCCGTTGAGGCCGTAATCCTCGAAACCCTGCGGCCCGTCCCCACACCTCGAAACCTTGCGAGCCCGAAAGCTGCACCGCAAGAACAATCGGCAACTTTATATATATATATATATATGTTATAACGTATGCACAGACTAGATGATAGTTATCCTAAGCTTGTCTGAGCGCGCTAGATAGACTCGTTGAGACCCACACACACACACACACAAAACTCTCAGCCCACTTCCAAACCTCATGATGCAAGTAGGGCCCGTCTATCCCTGAGTCCCTTTCCTGCATCCGCGAGACTTCCCACATCACATTGCTCTTCTCCGCCTCCATCCTGGAGGGAATGTTTCAAGAGACAGTGAGGGTCCGGCTTACATGCATCTACCAAATCAGGAGAGTAGGCAACGGCCCCAACAGCCCTAGACACCCACTTGTAAGTTGCATAAGTTTGGGGTGATTGTCCCGGAGCAAAGCACCCCTGTGCCTTCCTTCGCCAGATGTCAAAACTCGATCCGAGGCGACAGCGTAGACACGCAAAGCTGGAAGACCAGTTCGGAAAGTGTTTGAAGCCATTATATTGCAACCTAGTTGCAACGAAAACCCAATAAACTCCCACGCACACTCCAGGCAAGCTCAATTGCTGGGATAAAGACCAACCAGACAAACACGTAAACTCCAACAGCTTAGAACTCTCCCATCGACTACGACACCGTAAGCGCAACCCTCAACTTTCAACCCTCAAGCATGTACATGTAATGATGAGGTACCTTGCCCCTCGAAGCCCGGAACCGTAACCACACACCAACCGCACCGCAGACGAAAGCTCCTGCCATCAAGGAAAATGAACTCCACAGCCTCCCCACAGAGTTTCGAGGCCCGCTGGAGCTGCATCTGGGAGTTTCCGAAATTAGGGTTTAGGGTTTAGGGTACATTGTTTGGGGATCCTTATAATGAGGATCCCACTGTATAGGGTATTATATTAGGGTACCCTACTTTCGGAAACTCTCATCTGGCTTGCAGGTTCTTCGGCTGCAACAAGGGTCTCTGAAATTCGGTGTTAGGGGTCCTTGTATCAGTAACCTACGAAGCTGCCTTTTTGAGAGTCCCCTGTTTGCTGAAGTTCCAAGTCTGGTTGGGACCTTCTTACAAGGCCGGGTAATCGCAATGGTCCATGCCTTACGGGACCTTTGGCACCATTACCGTTTAGAACCATTACCGCGCAGCAGTCGCAGTTTCGGCCTCAAGCATTTAGGAGTTTTAGGGCTCAAGGTTTGTCTACCCTATGGATTTGCAATGGAGCTGGTCTCCCTCATCATACATAAAACTGCATCTGTTAGGGTTCTATGTGTCACGTGTGTTCCCAGAAATAGACCCAACCGCAACATCCACCAGATTTAAGACCATTTCAACGTGCGAGATCACAGGCAAAAAAGCCCGACAAACCCGAAGCCCTCGACCGTGGACCCGAAATGCTTCAGACTTCTATGACTTGAACCCAGGAGCCCAACGCAGCGTAAAATACATACATCCTAAGCCAGAGTACAAACACGAGTCATAATTATGATGAACATGATATGTAAGTAAAATATCTCCCTTGAGAGAATGCCAGAGGGGCACCCGGGTGACGTTGCTGTTGCTGCATGTGCCGTGGAGGCAGGCCACCTGGGATTGCTAGAGGGTATCACTACGTCCCCAAAGTTAAGCAAGGAAAACGATGAAATGTACCCCTTACCCCTGGGGTTGTGGGCGGAAGCCCTGAACATAGTCTAGGTCAAAATGAACATGAACGGGTGGCGTGCCTCACCTGACCGCGTGGGCCTCAAATTGAGGGCTTCAGGATTTTGGGGTTTAGGGTTTTTGCAGGCTTGGGCTTATAGCTCCCTTTAAACGGAACCCTCATAGCTCCCTATAAAGGAACTCTCATAGATCCCTTTAAAGGAACCCTTATAGGTCCCTTTAAAGGAACTCTCATGAGATCCCTTTAAAGGAAGCTCGAGTCGCCCGTATCGGTCGGTCCCTGGGGCTCGGAGGCGGAGCCCAGGCCTCTCCGGCGAAGGCGTCGGAGGGTTCAGGGCTCAATGGATGGCTTCGGTTCAGGGTTTTTTGTTTTTTTAAGGGCTCCTTTTCGATCTGCAGATTGCGGTTCAGGGTTTATTTAGGGTTTAGGGTTTTAGGTTTAGGGTATTTTAAAGTTAGGGTATCGGGCTCGGGGGTTTAGGGGGTGAAAAGGTTCAGGTCCGGCGTGCCTCGCGTTCTCGTGGCTCTGCGAAGTCAGCAGAAGCCGGTTGCACCTCGCGCATGAGCCGGCTTGCTACTACGACTGATGTGAGTGTAATGCAGTCTCATACGATTCTTATAATAGTATAATGTACTGTTATATAACTTACAGAAACTTATACACTATAATCTACGATTCTATAAACTTATATGCTATAATCTACCGTAAACGGGTCTGGTTTTAGCGGGTCTACGGCTTAGGCCCAAGTTGTCCAGCATTCAGGGTACAAGTACGATGATGGCTGTCGTCGTCGCTGCTCTGAGAAACAAATCCAAAGAATCTGCGCTTCTTGTAGAAGGCATGCGCACCCTCTAACCCCGTCCCCGGACCCTGCTTGGACGACCAGGCTGACGTAGTAGGTTGTTGATACAAATAAGCCAAGCCTCAAGCTCCGGCTGAAAGTAATCTCATCCCCCTAAACCCTAAACCCCTAGACCCGAAAGCCCGACTGAATGTGGGGCGCAGCCAAAGGCGACAGAAAGCCAAGGTCGCGAAGCACACTCTGAACCCTATACAGAACCCGGGCCTCGAACCAAAATCCCAGCTACCAAACACTCCGTCGGATGTACTACAGTTTCAGTCAGTATTACAGTGGGGCTCACGCCAAAGACACATACATGTAAACTCATATTATACATACCGAAATATATATATATATATATATATATATATATATAATATCTCTCTCTCTCTATCTATCTCTCTGTACTTATATTCGTACATCATTATACATGAACACACACACACACAAAAAGATGTATGCATATGCACACCATCATAAAGAGAATATGGAACCCGGTAATTGTCTGGACACGTAGATTCCCTGGCAACTCCAGCGCCTCGGGAGGCTCGTCCGCCGGATCCGCGAAGGGATCCCAGTCGGCCATGGCGAAAGGACTGCTGGGGGGGGGGGGGGGGGTTGAGGGTTTACCGTGTTTGGGGCGTATGATGTTGAGGGTTTTTTTTGTTTAGGGGTTTAGGGTTTATCATGGTTTAGGGTTTATGAGGTTTGGGGCATTGCTTCCAGAGCTCTGTCTTGGTTATTAACTGTGTTTTTGTCAGCGCTCTTTCGACTTGCAGCTAGTACAGATATAGGAGCCCCTTGAAGGAGTATATACCCATGATATATATATATATATATATATATATTTTGCCATTTGCATGCTGTCAGAGGTGTCCGCTGCCTAATTATACTGTGCATTCATCCCGGAAAGGCTTAAAAGGCTCAGCCACCGGGTGCCCCCAGAATGAAGCCGGAGCTTGTAGCTTAGGCCGTCCCCCATTGAGGAACTCCTGCCACAGGGCTCTTAACGGCTTCGGGAGCAGCAATCCTGGGTCTTTGACCACGGCCGTGCTAAGCACCTCATCCCTAGCCTGCCGCCACACAGCTTCCCAGCTGGCAGGTAGTGAATACAATGAGGCGAATTGGGTCCCGTTGTCACCCTGGAAATTCTTATATACGTCTCGCCAATCGAGGGAGTCCAGCATCGACTGAAAAGATGCAAAACTGCTCAGAGCACGAAGTTCTCGCTGATCTTCTGCTCCGTCTTCCTCTTTGTATCGACGAAGTTCTGTGAGTGCTCGCAGGATCTCCTCGTACTCCTCCCGGCTCCACTGCTGTAGGTCATCGTCACCATTGACAATGTCGACCTCGGAGCATACCCAATCAAGGACCTCACTGATTTCCTCCGGGTAAAGCGGGTACTTATGGAGTTTTCCACGAAGCACTTGTACAAGTGGATCAGGTAGAGGGTGGCGAAGAAGCTCGTTACATAGCTCCTCGTGGCATCTGTTCTGGTAGTAGTTCCACGGATTGTCGCCATCCTCCCTGATATCGCCTTCCCCCGGGCACGGTGGTGCTGGGGTGAAGTTTTCAACTGCATCTTTACGCCGCCGGCGACTGCCATAGCCAGGGTGGACTACATCCTGGGGTTTGTGTCGTCGACGTAGGCTTCTGACGCACTTTTTACTGGCTCGGAGGTGGTCCTCCAACCGCCCTGTCGTCCAGTATTCCGTGCCACAGCTGGCACATTTGGTTCCACAGAGATATCGTCTGTATTCTGCGCACCGGTTGTGGACGCTGAAGAAGTGAACACTGAGTGCCGCCCTTGTGCGGAATCCCTTGTCGCACATTCTACACCACCACGTTGGCTCCTTCTTGGTCGCTGCTGTAGGGGCCGGTAGGCTGCGATGTAGATGCCAGAGGCATACATGTATCGCCGCCTTCTCCTTGAATTTCCGGAAATCCTCAACATTTTGCCGTTGTGCCCGCTTTTTGACCCTGTGCGGTTGCTGCCGCAGGACATGCCACCACTGAGGCCAAGAAGCTTCCTGAACCTCTGGCCAATTGCCCGCATCATCAGCAACCAACCATCGTAGATCATCACACAACTGTTGGCTCCAACGACCTTCTTGTTGTACCATGGCCCACAATACATCTGGCCCTTTCAAAGCCAGCGATACCAGGGCCGAGATACGGCTTCTCCGTGCGTACAGGGCCAGTGGCCAACATCCTGTGGCCCAATGTGCTAGGACCAGAGGGATCTTGAAAAGGCCCTCCCCCGGTACATCTCGGCTCAACAACTTTCTCACGAGCCGCGAGAAGTTGTCACTCAGTTGCTGCCACTGCTTGCCTGTCGCTTGCCATATCTCCAGGTTGTGATAAGTGCTGACCACGACCGTATTGAAGAGCATGGTCCGAGTTTCCAGGGCCAGATCGCGGTTCTGCAGTAGCAGGTCCTTGGCCTGGTTGTAGGCGTCGGCGGCAAGTGCCGTCCGGTGCCGGACCTCCTGTGCCATTTTCATGCACGGGTCCACCACACAGCCTAAATGCTTGTAGTGCGGGACAATCTGGAGGGATTCGCCCGGTCTCCCAGAGGAGAAGCAACGCTGTCGCACCTTCGTTGCTCCTCGTCCCGTCAACCTCAGTATAGCACTTGTCTTGTGGCGCTTGAGGTTCGGGGACAAACCGTGGGAACGGAATGCAGAAATGATCATCGATCCCAGTCGTGAGGTCCGGTAGATGACCTCCTCCGGGTTGTCTCCAGTCAAGGCGTAGGCACTGTCGTCCGCCCAGGTTGTATCCCAGGCCGCCTGCTGGTTGCCCACAGGGTGGGTTGTAAAAGGCCCCGACTCCGGCGAATATTCAAGGCTGAAGTTGAGGGACTCCCCCTCCATTTGCTCGTGTACTCGGTAAAGTATTCGAGCGTAGCTCACCGAGAAAACGCAGTCAGCCCACGACGCTCCTGGCCGTGATCCAGCGGTGGAGCGGCAGACTTGCTCCCCTGTAGTGAATCGCGTGGTGAACCAAGACTCCCGGTGGAAATCCCAGGCCGCTGTTCTGATAGGTCCCGGTACTTCCGCCTCATTGAGCATGCCCCCATTGAGGATCACTTCCCGCAACTCTGCCACATCGCTGCCATCCAATCCGAAGGAATGGAAGAGTGCCTCCACATTTCGGTCGACCGTCAGGTCGCCCGTGGCAATTTGTCGAACCAGCCTGTAATATGCCGACTTCGTGTCGACAAAAATCACCGCCGCACTCCTGTGGCTCTGGAAGCACCACCGGAGATGTTGGACGATGAACAGCGAAGGGAAAAGGACCGGGAGACCTTTCCTCGAGCCGCAATGGAGCGGGTGCAAGAAGTTGTCGAGGTGGTCGTTGATTTTTGCCCGCATCGTTTTGTGTAGGGCTTTACCAACGAAGCTCGATATGTAGAGGCTTCTGTGGTTGCCGGGATCCCATTGTGCTCCAGCTCCTTTGAAGGCCTCATACAAAATGCCACCTCTCCACTGTATTGGTTGCCTCCCTCGTAGAAGAGACTTCAAGTACAGTGGTTGCACCGCCCTTGCGAATTCGCTTGGGCATGCCGATACCAGGTCACTGGGGATTTGGTCCAGTCCGGCGGTCTTGTTCTTCGGGGTGCGTCGTAGGACCGTCTCGATGTCGACCAAGCTCGGCAGTAGCTCCCAGCTCCAGTCCTCGTGGGTTCTGTCCTGGCTCTGGCTGACTTCAGAGAGGAAGCTCTCGGTCGCGACTATGGAGCCTGCCTCCTGCGTGCCAAAGTACTTTAGCCAGATGGCATCGCGATCTTCCCTGGTTTCGGCCTCCTTCTGGGTCTCCGGATCCAGCAGTTTCGGGAGCTCTCGGTGGATAGGCCGCTTGGCCTTGGATCCCAGCCCGGCCTGCTTGGCTCGCCTCAAGATAGCAGAGGCTGATTGGGGCCCGGTTGCCGCAAGGCCTCTCAGGTAGTTGTCCTTTGCCTTGGCAATAATTCGTCTGCAAGTCATAGTCGCAAACTTGACCGCACTAGCAACCAGATCATACAGCAATGCATGTTTGGCAGTTCGGGACGCAATCCCTGGGTCACATCCATGTCTCCAGTGCGTCAAAGCCTGACGCTGTAGGTAGCCCGCTTGCCGTAGGCGACCTCGCGTTCGCCACTTCAGCTGATTCTTCAGCTGGCGTAGGGCCCATACCTCGTCAGGGATGTAGGAAGCTCCCTGTGGCCGCTGTGGGAGTGCAAAACTCTGTCGCATGACCTTCACCATGTGTTCCTGGAAGTTTTGGCAGTGCTCGTCGGGATGCATGTTCCAAGGTGGTTGGGTAAAGTTCCGACAGGCCTCCGCCACAATTGCCCTTCCTTCTACCGTCTGCATTTTTTGGACTCGAATCGTTCTCGTAGTAGTCGAGGTCGTGAGGATGGTGCAGGCATCGCTCCCTTGATTTGTAGCTCCGTTGCCCAGTGGTCCAGATTTGGGCTCCCATTGTCAATATTGTAATTGACAGCAGAGCGGGCCTGTCGGGCCACAGCTCTCCCCCCTACGAAGATGTAATCAATGCGGCTTTCGGCTCCAGTATGATGGCAATGGGTTGGGCATCCACCAACATGAATGTGATCATATGTACTTGGAGCCCACAGTCCGCATTCTTCCATGATCTCGGCCATGAGCTTTCCATTGGCATCCGGGTCATCAAACTCCAAGCTTCCAGTAACACCTTCAACGTTCAAAGGCAGTCTCCCATTCAAGTCGATGCCACATATCAAGAGGTGGGTCTTCTTGAGCTCTCTTAGCACCTTCCCAGCCTCCTTGAGGAACGCTCCTCTTTCCTCCCTTCTGTTGTCGTGAGGGCAATGGGCTGAGACGATGCCGACTTTGCTGGCCCCAATCGTTACGACCACCGCCAGCAAACGGGGACTGGACACCAAGACCCGGATATCCGCCTCCGGTGGCACGATCGCCGTCCCATTGATCTTCAACAGACCATGTTCCTTGCTGATCCACACAGCTGTGCCCCAGTGTCGGTCTGCAGGGGCTTCCAGGCGGTGATAGCGGGCACTTTCACATTGTCCCCCGCCCGTCTTCGTTTCCTGCAGCAGGACCAGGTTGTACTCATGGTAGTCCATCTGGTCTTCGATGTATCTGTACTGCTTACCGATGCCCTGCACATTGAAGGAACAGATCGCTATGGTATAGTCTTCTGTTCCTTCTTCAGCAGCTGCTCGCTGTCCTTCCCGTGGCAAGGTCGGCACCAGTTTGTTGGCCGGGAGCTGGTAGTTCTCGAGTCCGCACTCACTCCATAGTAGGCCTCCACCATCCACGTGCAGGGCCCCGGTTTTGGCGGCTGCCATTTCCGTGCTAACCCAGTCCAGGTTCATCGTTAGCATGGCCCTGCTGATTTCGTCTGGTGGCTGTGCAAAGGCATGGGTGCCGGTAGCAGTGCTTTTCGCAATAGCATCAGCGACTTCATTCCATCCGTGGCCGACGTGACTTTTCACGTGGGTCATGGTGAGGTCGACTCCGTCCATCTCTCTGAGGATCATCTCCAAGTTATGTATCCTCTTGGACAACTCGTCAACTGGGGCCCACAGCCCTTGGGCAGCCTTACCGGCTGCCATGCAGTCGTAGTGGATGCTGCATTCCAACCAAGGTATGGTCGCTCTCGCTTGGATGATCCATAGGAGGGCCGCCGCTATGGCGACCTGTTCCGACGTCAGGGCCGCACATTACCTGTCGTCGGCCACATAGAGGCTGGGTCTCCTAGGATCTGGCCCCCAAGTATGCCCATTACAGCGACCGCTGCTCCAAGGTTCAAAAGGATCACCGCAGCATATCCGCTTCGTCCTGCAGCTTCATTGGCAGAACCATCAGTGTAAATACTGATAGTCGGGGGCTCTGCACACATCTTGTTGAGGATGTCGTCCCCCGAGACAGCATTGTTCAACACCTCCTTGGCAGCCTCATTGAAGTCCACCCCTGAAAGATTCCATCGCCTCCAGGTTGCCGGCCACGGTTTGAACAAACTCCTCACCTGGTCGTGGGTGTGTGGGAAGGGCAACCTCACTTGGGTCAGATCAAACTGTTGCACCGGGAGGTAGTCGTAGATTTTGAGCTCCCTTCTCTCCTCCGTTTGCCCCAGCATTTCAGTTTGTCTCCTCCTGGGGGAGCGGCTTCTAGGCATGTTCACTGGCCTAGGCGGAGGTGGCCCCCGAGGTTCACCTGTGGGATCATAGTCCGCCGGAGGGCCTTCACTGGAGCTCCCATTGAGGTAGTCACTCGTATTGGAGCTGCTATCACTGTCATCATCAGAGGGAGGGTCATCGCTGTCCTGCATTGTGGCGTCCTCGGATTGCTCACCAGTCTCCTTTGATAGGTACATGACGAGCATATCTCCCATCTTGATGTCAATGTGGGCTCCATCATCTCGCGGTTCGCCGCCTTGTACCATAAGTGTCCAACCCGGCACATCCGGCATGTCCAGCTCCTCATAGTACTCCATTGGCTTGAACACAGTGCCTTGCAGCTGCGTCCATTGTGGGAAGAGCGCTAGGCCACGCAGGTCCAGGAAGATCACCGGTTCCTCCCTGGCATACTGGTCAATTCCGTCGAAGACCGCGACCTGTCCCCACACTCTTCTGCCTCGATGTGCAAGGTGTGGGATGCGCTCTTCTGGCACCTGGACCCAAGCATCACCATGCTCGATCCTTAGCGCCTCCTCGGCGGAGACTTCCAAAGTCCTTTCATCATCAGAGTGGATCTCCTCGACGACCTGATCATCAGCGCTCTGATATACAGTGTGGAGGCCATCAACTGGGTATGGCAGGGGGGCCTCTGGATTCCATCGCTGGGGGTCGCCGACACGCGCAACCATCTCATCTTTCCATCTCGGTCGGGCTCCCTCTCTGAGAACTTTAACCACTCCACCATGGAATGCCTCATAGGCGTGGCCCGTCCTCATTGGTCTCTCACTGCCGAAGGCATAGACCTGTAGACCCGCTGGCCATCCCTCAACCATGTTCATTAGGATGCCCTCTCGCGTGATGGGGCTGTCAAAGTAGGCACCGAAGATGTCCCCTCCAACCTCCGTCGTGTCCACGATGAGCGCAACCTTGTCGGTCTCCTGTATCCATGGGGGGTAGGCAATGAAGCTCCCAAACTGCGGTGTCGCCGGTGCATACAAAGAAAAGTGTTCAGGGATCACCACACATGTGTCCTTGAGGATTTTGGACAACCGCTCCACCGTTGTAGGAAAGGGCACCTCCGCGTCGATCACCTCCGCCTCATAGTAGGGAGCCGTTACCCACAGTGTCACATGGACCGTGGCAACCTCCACTCTCGGTTCTCCCGGCTCCTGCTCCTCGACATTCACTTCATACCGAGGTATCCGGGCTTCTCCGGTTCCATGGCCCAAAGGACAATGGTAGATCACCTCATCCAGGGCACGTAGTTCCTGTTCCCTCATGGTGAGCTGTCCTGAGGCCCACAGCTCCAGGTCCGTCTGTCTGGGGATTCCCAACGCCGTGAAGCGGCCATATCCCCTTGGTGCCGCTGCACATGTACGCACCGTAGACAGGGTCGCCAGCACTATACAGATCCTGCCCGGGAGTGGTCCCATTGCTCTGCACACCTTTCTGGTCGTAGTCGGCCTGATCATCACAATGAGCAGGGACAGCATGGTGATGTGCAGCAGGGTGAGGGCCCCTGAAATGAGGGCCAATGTCATTGGCTCCAGGACGGCAGAACTCCACCTCCACATTGTGTCGCCGGCATTGGTAAAGAGGTCTATCACGTCAAAGACCTCGTTGTTGGCAAACTGTGGGTCGTGGCCTCCCGTAGGGCCGTGCCCATGATCGTCATCATGCCATCTTCTCGAGGACATGCTGCTCAAAACACAAAAGAGATTGTACCACCAAGGCTCGTGTGACCTCAGTACCAGAGGATGCTCGAAAATCCAGCGCCAGCATCCACCAAAATGTTCGCAAAGCGGGTATTCACGGCGCCCCATGTAGTTGGCAACCGAAAGACAAGCCCCAGGCTGGGTGCCTCCAAGGCTTTTCATATCACAGCACATAGCAGACGAACCGAAAAAGCTGCTGTGCTGCTTCTCCCCAAGAGTTGCTACTCCATAGCATTCGGGTCGTCCGGGAGGCCGCCGCCGAGCTCGCCAATCATGTCTTGCTCCTCGTCGTCCGTCACCTCCTGGATCCCGGTTCTTTCTGCCTCTGCTCTGGCCCTCGCCCTTTTCTCCTCCAGTTTCTCCGATAAGGCCCCTGGCTTCGTAGTCTGCACAGGGCCCATCACTGTAGTCTTCACGGAGAGCCTGGGCCCATGTGTGTGGGATCTCGACCTCGAACGCACCGTGGGTAGGGCCCCTCGTGTGGAGGGTGACGCCTGGTAGGGCTCTCTGGCAGCTTCGGGAGGCTCTCCGCTGTACGTCGCGGATGCACTGGGCTTCTCGCCCTGCCTCTGCTGTCCCTTCTTTTCCACTGGCGTAACAGCAGCCGGCGGGACAGTTCGGCGCCTCGGTGTAGTAGGAACATGGTCGTCCTCCGTCATGCCAAGCAGACCCATCAACTGCCGCTTGGCTGCGGTACTCAGCTGCCTGGGCTGTGTGGCACCCTCCAGCAGGCCTGTCAGTCCAGCCCAGGGGTCCTCGGTCTCCGCCATCAGGTCGTCCCACTCTTGCGCAGCATCTCGCGGGATTTCCTCCTGCATCATGCTGGCAATGGCCTCGGGCTGTGTAAAGATCTTCTTGAGGTTCGCCATGGCCTCCTCCTTCTGCTGGATCATCTCCGCCTGCTCCTCGCGGATGTGGGCCATCCTGTCGTGATATCGCTGTCTCTCCTGGACAAACGATTTCTTGAGTTTCTTCTGGTACTCCGCCCACTTGGACTCCGCCTCGGCACGGTCAAAGTCTCCTTTCCGCATCTTTCCATCGGAGCGGCGGATCGTATTGACCCATTTCTGCACCAGGCGTGCAAGGTCCCCAGAGTTCTCCTTGCTGTTCTCTGGCTCCCTGGGATCTTCGCGGCCACCTCCTTTGGCCGTTTTGCGCCCTCCAGTCGGCATGGCATCGTAGCTGGGGAAGCTCGTCGCTGGCACATCGCCTTTGGCCCGCGTCTTGCCATGGCCCTTGCCAGCATGGTCCTGCCAGTCCCCAGTATATCCAGAGTGTCGATAGTAGGGCTGCTCGTTCCAAGCGCCTTTCCATTCTGGCTTTTTGCCCATCTGTGGTTGGAGCTCGGCGTATCGCGGGGCACTGTGGTGCTTCTGCAGGAAGGCCAGGTCCTCTCTCCGAGGTTGGCGGCCGCAGTTTCGGGCTGCAGCGATGCTGGATCGTGCCGTCGAACGCTTCTTCCTCAAGCGTCGGTGCCACGAAGGGGATCCACGATGCAGGCCTATGGCTGCACGGCGTGCTTGCGCACTTGGGGTTCGGCAATGCGTCTACGTGGGCGCTCGATCCAAAACCCTATATATATATATATATATATATATATATATATATATATATATGACCATAAGGCTACCTGGATCCGTAGGGCAATGGGCAGCCCAATCGAACTCCAAGTGGAAAGGGGCAGAGGCTGCAAAATGCCGATTTGTATGGCTCGACGCTGCATGTTGACAGGGTCTAGAGGGGTGTTGAATCTGGTCTAGCGGTTCGGGGGCTGCTGATTGTCAATTGAAGCTGTAGGGCTTCAGACCTTGAGTATAGGCTGCGGCCGAGACTTCAAATTGGGAGAAACCCAACTCGAGTCGTGCTTCCTGAAGCTATCTCCAGGATCTCCACTGGGAAGAGCGAACGGCAGGCTGTCACTACATCAGACATGCCCTGTAGAGGAAGGGGAACCGCAACATCCCGAAACCTGGCGGACCGCAGTTGTAGAGAACAACCCCCACATCGGGCTGTCGGCTGTCGGTAAAGGGGTCAATCACGAGCACCTGCAGAAGTTTCTTCGGGCTGTTTAGGCACAAGAGGACTGAAATGGACAGAAGAGTGCAGCATTGGAACAGCAAAAAACACAGACTGCATGCTGATCGAGATATCAACCCACTCGGTACTCAGGAAGATTGCTCCTGAGGAGCATGTGCTAATATGGCAGATGCAAGTATGAAACATCCTAACTGGCAGGTACGTATAGACGTCGGAAGCAAGATGTGTCTGAATCGGCACCGAGAAGGCAACGACCAATGCTTCAACATCCAAGCTAGGGTACCCCCTCGTGGTGCCTGCAACGGTATGCCACCAATGCCAAACTTCTATCATCAGCGGACTCTACTCTAGGCAACGAGCTATCAGAGTTTCTTGTTGCTGGCTTGAAGCCAGCATCAGCACACCTGCGAAACCATTTGGTGCATTCTTGAACTCTGAACCTCAAACCCTGAGCTTTGTAGACAGCCTAGGGCCTACAAGAAACCTTGATCTGCCGTGGGCCCTAATTACCTAATTCTTCAGCCCCTTGCAGGCATCCGCCTCCTAAAATCGCGCACTGAGTACTTGCTCCCCCCAAACTGCACAGAAATGAACGACAGTCGGTTTCGGAGATAACCGAAGCCTAAGAGCCAAAATGGGGTCTCAATCCGAGGAGGGGGGGCCGGCCTGCGACGCCCCCTGAGGAATGCCGAAGATCCGTCCATCCGGGGCATTCACCGCATGGGACCTCTGGGTTCGGAGTTTATAATAGTGATGAAGATGCCCGTAAACCCTGAACCCTTCCGTCGTTAGGGGTCGGAGGGCGCAGAGTTCAAGAGTAGAAAGGGTCTCCAATCTATACCAGGGTTTCGGGATTGACGGCTTTGGGGTCCTGTGGATATGGGTTCACCAAGCGCGACTCTCTGATTGCAGTCAGGGTGCCACTTTCTGGTGGTTGCATCGAGTAGCCCCACCTCCAGCGTTCGGTGCTCAGAAGTTCGAGAGGCCGGATGATTCTGATTCAGTGCTGAGGTTTATCCAATTTTATCCTGCTTTTGACTTCCGACCCTATATAGTCGTTGCGTGATGCAGACCCAGAACCCACGGTTTCCGGGCTTTTTTGATCGTCTGCCTCGCTGAGCAGATCGGTCTGGCTACCCGGAGCATCGCTGGTCCTAGCCAACATGGGCATGCTAGCCTCGGCCCTCTTAAACGGAAAGGCCAAGGAGGATGATTAGAAGTGCACTTACATCAAGAAGGTGCATCGCAAACCACGGTAAAGCATCTCTTCACGCCTACTGTGCTGCACAATGGCATGACACGGTTTTGAGATGCACCAGCACGGCACTCCGCGGAGAATCCAGCGACAGCCAGCAACAGGCGTGGCTTATCTGAGATCTGGACCCCTGTCAGCTACAAAGCTAGGTAGGGTCTGAGCGACTGCGGCCTTTAAAAAAGGCTTACACCAAGGTCCGCATTGGGTCAGGCGTCTTCTGGTTGTTGTACTTGTACAGGGAGCTCAGGGTCTTCCATCCCAGCTTCAGGTCTCCCATGGGATCCTCAGCTTCGCGTCGCTGCTGGGTCTAGGGTCTAGATGAGCATGTCCACATGCACACTATGTGCATGTATATGAGCATCTGTCTGCGCTCCTCCCTATCTAGCTGTCTACCTGTCTAGCTATCTATCTATCTACTCTTTCCATACATAGCTGTTCATCTACCGATTTGCACGAATCTTAATATAAACACTGATAGAAATTGATAATGAACAGTTCGACACAAGTACAAGGCAATCTGTGAATGCCCCTTTAAGCTGGGAATCTGGAGGTGTCAAAGGGACCCTGTATTGCGCCAATGGAAAGCATTGCAGCCGAGATGCGTTTCCCTGCACGGTCTTGTAGAGGTAAGAGTCGAAGGTCACCTTCTGGACGTACTCCTCCTCGCACAGCTCGACGAAACTCTCCCTGGCAGCATCGCTGGTGTAGAAGACCTTCTGAAGCAAGTCAAGCACCAGGTAAGTGGGTCCGTACTTGGAGTCCCACTCCCGGATATGCTCCATGAGGTCCGCCTCATCGATCATGCGAACTCCACTCTTGGAGCTCTTGACGATGGTCTCCGCACACATGCGCCCGCTCTTGGCGGCGAAGTAGATGCCTTCGCCAGAGCACTTGGTCACATATCCGGCGGCATCTCCGACGAGGATCGCCCTGTCCTTGACCCTCCAGGGCCTCGGGTGCTCGGGAATCGGGTGGGCCTCCACCCGGATGATCTCACCGCCATCGATGCGAACAGCCGCTCGGTCTCGAATGCCCTGCTGGTATCTCTGAATGCCCTTCTTGTCCACGACAGTGCCAGTGCCAACGGCGACATGATCGCACTTGGGGAAGACCCAGGCATAGAAGTCGGGAGACACATCGTCTCCGACGTACATCTCGGCCCTGTCCTCGTAGTATTCCATCTTCTTGTCCGGGATTCGCATGCGCTCCTGGAATGCGATGGCATACTCGTAGTCGCCGGCCTCGATGTCCTTTGCGACGCGACTGTTTGCCCCGTCAGCACCAATGACAACGTCGACCTCAAGCGTCTTCTTCTCACCCTTGCGCGCGTTGCCCTCATCCTCGGCATACTCGTTGAAGGTGAGGACGTAGGGCTCGTTCTTCTGCTGAGGGATGGTCATGCCCATGAAGAGGCCGTTGATCAGCGTGGCACCGTTCTGCTTGGCCCGCTGTCGGAGGAAGTCATCAAGAACCTCGCGGCGGACCATCCCGATGAACTCGTCGTCCTTGAGCGTCTGACCGATCTGGACTTCCTTGTTGGTCGGCGAGATCATGGTCATCTTTTTGACCTGACGATCCACAATGTCCTTGGGAAGGCCGAACTCGTCGATCATGCAGAGCGGGATCGCGCCACCGCAAGGCTTGCAGTTATCCAGCTTTCGCTCGATAAGGTAAGTCTCGATTCCCTCCT